CTTTTTGCAATCCAGGAAGAGATGAAACTATTGAATTCCTCATAGAACACGGCGCCGATGTCAACGCCAAAGACAATGATGGATTGACAGCTCTTCTTTGGGCTTCACAGGAAGGTAATTGTCTAAAATACTTGGTTCAAAATGCAAACAAGCTTTTGATTTTGTTCTTTTAGCAATCCAGGAAAAGATGAAACTATTAAATTCCTCATAGAACACGGCGCCGACGTGAAAGCTACAACCAAAAACATAGAGACAGCACTTCATTATGCTGCGCGGCAGGGTGATCGTTTGAACTCTTACTTTCAAACATAAACAATATTTTGATTTTGTTTCTTTTGCAACTCAGCACGTGTGGAACTTGTTGGACTTCTCATCAAAAAAGGCGCCGACGTCAATGCCAAAGATATTCGTGGAAATACAGCACTTTATTGGACTGTAGACGATGGTAATCTTCTATAATCTTAATTCAAATTGCAAATAATTTTTTGATTTGTTCCATTTTTAATTCAGAGCGTAAAACTGTTGTTAAACTACTTGAAGCTGAAGCTGAAAGAATTCGGAGTCAAAAACGGACATGGTATCTCGAAATTGAAGGTAATGTGTGCAACGCTAGGGGGATTTCTCACTTAAAGTATGGAATAATTGTTTTGTTCTTCGTCGTCTGATTTCTACAATAAGTTGATCACAAATATTCTTTATTTTTCATAAATTGAAAAGATGAAAAACTGTTTTTGTACATCCCCTTTTGAAACACTCATTTCATTTTGTTGATAACATATTTTCATTCACTTTTTGTTCATTTTCTAGTATTTGGATGGCCTTTTGTGATACTTTTCCTTTTTATTATCCCGATTTTACTGGTTGCAATGCATTTACACGATTTGACCTCACTTCAAAGTCGACTGCTGACAGGAAAATTGATCGGTGGTGGCAATTTCGGTGATGTGTACATGGGAGAATTGTTTCCAATAAATCCATTTTCCGAAAAGAAAAAAGTTGCTGTGAAAACGATCAAAATCAGCAAAGGAACTGCCTCGAAATTGGGGGTATGTTTAGTAACGGGTTAGTGTTCTTTTATTGGCTTTTGATGGCTAATCTTTGAAATTTATTATATATATAGGGTACAACTGAATTATTGGCGGAAATAAACATTCTAAAATGTTTGCCAAAACATTGCAATGTTGTTGGTTTTATTGGGGCATTCGGCATTAGGAACGCTCTCAATGGTAAATTTGGATCTATTTGAAAGTGTTTTTTTTAAAACCATTGAAAAATATAAACCGTTTGGTTTTCAACAGGTGGAATAAAGATTCTTTATGAATTCTGCCCATATGGTGATCTCAGAAGTTTCTTAAAGAAAAATAAACCAACAAAACCTACAACACCAGGTTATATCCCTGACACATTCTGTTCACCTTTATCACCTTTATCACCTACCTTCTCATATACAAAAACGGATCTGCTTAGTTGGGCGGCTCAAGTGGCAAGAGGCTTATTATGTTTGGCTTCGAATAAACCTCCTATCATACATCGTGATCTAGCTGCTAGAAACATTCTCCTTTGTGATAATGAAACGGTTAAAATTGGTGATTTCGGTCTATCACGGACACTGAACGGAAGTGAATATTATAAAAAAGGGGGTTCGGTACGAATGTGCACAAATGAAAAATGTCTTTGAATTAGAATTGACGGAGATGTGTTTTATTCACAGGCTCCTGATCCAGTTCCATGGATGGCCATCGAGTCTCGTCAAGATTCAGGAATGGAACAGAAATTCAGTGTAAAATCTGATGTTTGGTCGTTCGGTGTCGTAATTTGGGAATTATTTTCGGATGGAGATGATCCAACTTATTTTACAATCGAACAATTGAAAAATGGCACCCGATTACCACAACCAAAAAGGGCTACGGAAGAAATGTGAGAATCGAAGAGTGTAATGAGCTATGGACTTTTTACGAACGACGTTTAATAATAATAATTTTAACTTTTGCAAATAGGTATAGCCTCATGTTGTCATGCTGGCAGGAAAAACCAGAAGATCGTATAACATCTGATGATTTAGAGAAAATACTTTCAAAAATGCATTCGGATGCACTGGAAGATGATGGACACATAGATAACGATGATGAAAGCTTAATAACCGTGAGAGTAGATGAAGCAAACACAGGAGTCAGTGCAATCATAAATTTGCCAGAGAGGACATCCGATGCAACAGAGGAAAATGGTTCCAGTTTGAGCTAAAATTCACCTTCATAATAATCAATACAGCCATTCTTATACATTCAAAGTTGCAGTTTTGTAATGATTGGAACATCGCGTTCTCACACGGAACAGATATTTCGATTGATGAAATTGAGCGTAGAGTATGTTTCATGGATTTTGTTGTGGAAGATGAGATTCGATTTCTTTCGACTTCCAACTGTTCCATGGAGATAGATTGGTGTTTGGGCGGGTTGTCGTAGTTTTTTTACCCAAATGATTTGAGAAATCTGTCATCTCTGATCAATTACGCGAGAAACGACAACAACCCAAGGATTGTAAATCCACTCTCTTTTAACGCAAACAAAATCATCAAAAGCTTACTCGACGCTCAGTCTCACCCATACTTTTGATATAGATATTTCCTTACTGAAGAACAGAAGTGAATAAGCATTGTACTTATGTTAACTCAGGCTTGAAGAAATTGGATTCAAATTTGAATTTAGAAACTACACCTCAAAATCGAAGAAAGATTGTGCATTACTGTAATCGATAGTCTACTTAAATAAAAAGTTTTACGAGCGTAAAACGGACTTTTCCGCACGTTTTATATGCTTAGAGGTCAATAAAATACATTTGAATGAAAAAAATGAGATAAAAGATAATGGCCAGCATATTATAACACCATCATATTTAATGACAGCTGACCGAGAGAGAGCCAAAGTAATCATGTAAAATGACCCATAAAGTATATTTTTAAATGAAAAAAAGTTGAAAATAAAAATTAAAAAGAAGACCATCATGGTTGACCAATCATTTAACACGGCTAACGATAAGAAAATGATATAAAAAACCAGAAAATGCATTTTAAAATGAAAAAAGTTGGGAAAAAAATTCAAAAAAAATTGAAAAAAAGTCAATCATGGTCGGCCATCGTGTTATAAATCATTTAACACGGATTAACATGATAAAATCGTGTTAAAACAAATCAAAAATCCGTCAAATTTTTTTTTCAAAAAAATCCAAGGGTCCTTCCTTGGGTGAAATTCTATGACATCCGAAAATTACCAGATGAACTATTCCAATTTGGCCCAACTTTTGATACATCCAAGGTATTTACTAATAGTGACTCCTGGCCAAATTTGAGCGAAATCGTTCAAGCGGTTCGAAAGTTATCGTGGACACAACCAAAAATCGTAGTTTTTGGGCCATCATGGTCGGCCATCGTGTTATGAACCATTTAACACTGCCTAATATTATAAAACTATGTGAGAACGATACAACAATCCACTCTAGGTTGATGAAAAAAGACATTTTTTTTCGACATAATCCAAGGGGGGACCCTTGGGTGATTTTCTATGATGTTCCAAAAGTACCAGATGAACTGGTCCAATTTGGCCCAACTTTTGATACATCCAAGATATTTACTAATTGTGACTCCTGGCCAAATTTGAGCAAAATCGCTTGAGCGGTTCGAAAGTTATCGTGGACACAACAAAAATTAGCACACTTTTTATCACGTCGATCGCTATACTTTTCTCACACACTTCGTGTGCGGAAAAGTAATTAGTTACCAATAAAATTATAACAATATGGACAATCATAGAGTTAGTATGATTGCCATAAATTACAATATATTTTTATGGCAATTTTTTCTTTGCAAATTGATGAAAATTTTGTTGATCGATTATTTATTTACCACTTGCCATTAAGCATCCGACAGAAACCATCGAAATAGAAACCGGTTCCGGTAAGTGAAAACTTTCAAGAAAAATTCTCCCCAATTAAAACAAGTTGAAAGAGAAATAAAAGAAAGATAGAGATCAGAAAGAGAACACGCATCACTTTAATTTTAGACTTTTTTTATTTATTTTTTTAAACATTCATTACATTTAGTTACAAGACTCTTGCAAATAAAATAATTTTCGAATATTACGCAAACAATGAAATGTGAGTAGATGTTTTACAATCCAAAATCGCCTCTAATGAGAGTTGTATTCGTTTGTTGTCCTGGTACAATTTGATTTATATTTCTAAAACGACGCATTATTCACTTGTGTTGTTGTTGTTGTTGTTTTATTATTTGTTGCTATCGTGGGAAGAAGCCACATTTTGGATATGAATGTGTGTGCATATTAATTTCCAGCAGTTTGACACAATCGAAAGAAGAAAATTAATGGACGAGGAAATAGACTTAGCTTAGAGACCAGCTAAAATGATTCGTGGATCTTCGACACTTGCTTTAATTTTGCGTAGGAAAATTACAGCTTCTCGTCCATCAACCAAACGATGGTCATAAGTAAGAGCAATGTACATCATTGGACGAATGACAACCTGAAACAAATGAAAGAATATTTTTCGTTATTACTTTAAAACAACAAACAATTGAATCACACCTTATTGTTTTCACTAATTCAATATTTTCAATTCATTTAAAACAAAAGAATTTGAAAAGAGTACCTTGAATGCATTTCGGTATTATCATACCATCATCAGCATCACGACTAAACAGAAAAGTCGTCGGTTGTCACGTAAAAACATCGGTCGGTGTAGCATCATAGCAACCGAGACAGCAAATTTGACTCGATGTTCCCGTTATCCAGATTCAATGCGTTGTTGCTCCTCTGAATAAAGTAACTTTCGTATGCGTCTAATTTGCGCGCGTCGCCTATCTCTTTCACCAACCGTAAGTTGCTTATGTCGATGTTCAAATGACCGCTGTTCAATGCATGCAATGCTAAGGCAGAGCGGTAGCCCTGTTTGTTTTTTATGCACAAACAATGTTCACGGAAACGAACTGAAATGTTACGTTTCGTTTGTCCAATGTATTCACACATACAAACGGGGCACTGAATAGCATAAATGCCAGATTTGTGTAAAGAATCAATTGTGTCTTTGGTTGAACCCAACAAATTCATTATTTTGGTTTGATTCGTATACACAATGGTTAAATTATATTCACGAAACTTATTTTTTATCTTGTTCATAATTTGTGGGATATATGGCAAAGCAACTCTAACTTTTTCCACTTCTGGCGTGTTTTGCGAAAACAATGTCGATAAATTAAATTTGTTTATTTTGTCTAAATGTTTTTTTATCAACACGTCGACCAAATCTCCTTTAAAGCCATTTATTTTCGCCATTTGTTTTATGCGAGCGTATTCAGTCATGTAATTTTGTGCTGAGAGTTTCATTCGACACAATCGATGAACCATTGAATGATACGCAGCCAATTTGTGTTGCATGCTACAGTTTGAATCACTAGTTATTGTTCTCAAAGTGTCAGTGGGTTTGTGGTAAATGGCAATATCAATTTTATTGTCCACAGAAGTTGACAATTCCATGTCCAAAAACGATAATTTACATTTATCATCCTCCTTCTCACACGTAAATTTAATCGAATCGAATCGATTGTTGAGCACGTTTAACACTGAGTCAATTTCGTCTTTCTTTATTATCGCGAAAACATCGTCTACATATCTCCACCAGATTCTGGGGAGCAAGTTTTCTTGTTTTAATTTTCGTTCGAATGCCGACATGAATAACTCACTAATCAATGGGCTAAGCGGATTTCCCATGTTAGTTCCAGTCGACACATGATAAAACGAATCACGAAATTGAAAATAACTATGATCCATACACATACGTGCTGCTTGGTAATAAACTGATTTTTGTTCGAATGGAATATCAATTTGCTCTAAATATTTTTCAAATTCCTTCAATGCAACATCAACTGGAATACTTGGAAATAAAGAACACACATCAAATGAAATTTTAGTCTCATCACAATTCACAACAACATTTTCAATTTTTTCAGCGAAGTCAATTGAGTTTCTGACTGAAAAACTCTCAAAAGGTGGCAGTTTTTTGACTTCTTTCACTAGCCATTTAGCAATGAGATAGTCAGTGGTCCCGATACTAGATACAATCGGCCTCATTTTGTTTCCGGCTTTATGTATCTTTGGTAAACCGTAAATTCTGGCAACTTTTGGATTCGACACTTTGAGATTTCGAGCCAGACGCGCACCAAACACTTTTCCTATTTTTTGTCTCAAATTATCACTTTCCCGAATCATTTTCGGTAGAGGAGTTTAAACCAAGAGAATCTGGTGGAGATATGTAGACGATGTTTTCGCGATAATAAAGAAAGACGAAATTGACTCAGTGTTAAACGTGCTCAACAATCGATTCGATTCGATTAAATTTACGTGTGAGAAGGAGGATGATAAATGTAAATTATCGTTTTTGGACATGGAATTGTCAACTTCTGTGGACAATAAAATTGATATTGCCATTTACCACAAACCCACTGACACTTTGAGAACAATAACTAGTGATTCAAACTGTAGCATGCAACACAAATTGGCTGCGTATCATTCAATGGTTCATCGATTGTGTCGAATTACATGACTGAATACGCTCGCATAAAACAAATGGCGAAAATAAATGGCTTTAAAGGAGATTTGGTCGACGTGTTGATAAAAAAACATTTAGACAAAATAAACAAATTTAATTTATCGACATTGTTTTCGCAAAACACGCCAGAAGTGGAAAAAGTTAGAGTTGCTTTGCCATATATCCCACAAATTATGAACAAGATAAAAAATAAGTTTCGTGAATATAATTTAACCATTGTGTATACGAATCAAACCAAAATAATGAATTTGTTGGGTTCAACCAAAGACACAATTGATTCTTTACACAAATCTGGCATTTATGCTATTCAGTGCCCCGTTTGTATGTGTGAATACATTGGACAAACGAAACGTAACATTTCAGTTCGTTTCCGTGAACATTGTTTGTGCATAAAAAACAAACAGGGCTACCGCTCTGCCTTAGCATTGCATGCATTGAACAGCGGTCATTTGAACATCGACATAAGCAACTTACGGTTGGTGAAAGAGATAGGCGACGCGCGCAAATTAGACGCATACGAAAGTTACTTTATTCAGAGGAGCAACAACGCATTGAATCTGGATAACGGGAACATCGAGTCAAATTTGCTGTCTCGGTTGCTATGATGCTACACCGACCGATGTTTTTACGTGACAACCGACGACTTTTCTGTTTAGTCGTGATGCTGATGATGGTATGATAATACCGAAATGCATTCAAGGTACTCTTTTCAAATTCTTTTGTTTTAAATGAATTGAAAATATTGAATTAGTGAAAACAATAAGGTGTGATTCAATTGTTTGTTGATTTATCGGTTTTCACGTCGCTCAAGAACATATTTATTAATTACTTTAAAAACCGAAACAAAAGAAGAAAAAATCTCCTGGAAAATTTTCAGCAAGAAAAATTCTATCTTACAAGGAAAAGAACACTTCTTAACTCTTAGTCAATATCGAAAGAATTTTCATTTCATTTTTAATTTGTTAGCTAAGATTTGGTAAATCACTTACTTGTCTTTTGATTGCGACCGGTCTGTCAAAGATGCCGTGCAGACCCAAGATCGCACTTTGTGGTGGATTGATGATTGGAGTTTCCATCAGTGAGCCAAACACGCCACCGTTACTAATTGTGAAGGTGCCGCCGAATTAATCATTAATGAATACAAGAAGCTATTATATTGGAAAGAAATTGTGTTGATTTGATTTAAATTGGTAGGATTTCATGTTTTTAAATAATCACAAACAAAATGAAAATGATCCCACAGTTCCTCGCAAATAAAGTGTCGTGATTGGCGGTTTTCTTCATATAATTTCCCAGGGAGAACGGAACATTCTTCTCAAGTACGCACTACTTTGGCCAAAATCAAAACCAACGCGCAAGCTATAACAAATCTCATTTTGTCAAACAGGATCCGGAGACAAAATTCAACGTTCTCGGACCAAACAAAAAATTCAAACTAAACAGGAATCTTCTTTATTCGCAACAATAGTCTCAGTCAACGGCAATTTTGACGGCAACGTTTGGAACTACGTCGATGAGTGTATTCAATGCAGTGTCAAATATTATCGTGTTGTGTGGTGAAACAGTAATATTTGAATTTGAATTTTGAATTGAATAAAAATGTTTCTCGATTGTACCAAATGAAACTGTGTAAATATAACGTATTAGAAAAAAATTGTTTTTTTTAACGCTTCTTCTTCGTTTCATCAAATCGACTTGACTGGCTGTGTCACCCTTGGAAATGCCAAAGATCATAATGAGTTTGATACAATTTGCACAGGAAAATTATTGATCTCAAACTAAACTACAGTCAATTGAACCGCTGCTGTACTCTCTAACTCCAAATCACCAAGAGGATTTACGCATTTTTGATGGTTCTATCGAAGTTTTCACAAAACATCAAATGAACTCTGCTAAAATAGAGTGATTTTCATTCAATATCGAGTGGATCACCACTGTATCTCTGGATATTGACATTGTTCGTGATCTCACTCTATGGCGATGTATTTGAATATTTTGGTTCGAAAATTTTCTGCGAGAAAACAATAAATAATGAAATCTCTTGTGAAAAAATATCCCTCTATATACACAGCTGTATGTTTCAATGTTTATTCAATTGTTCGTTTCAATGCAATTTCAAGAGAAAAAAAACAGATGATACGAATATGCACCATCTACAATGGACAGACACACACAATTTGGTATAAAATATCAAAAAGATTTATTTGTAATGAATTTTTATGTCCAAATTACAAAAAAATTTAAAAAAGAGAATCGATTGAGTTTTAAATACATTCAGCCTTTGATAACAGCAATTGGTCGCAATTTGATTGCCTTTTTACTGATGCCGGCTGCGTGGCACGTATCAACGACATCGGTGACATTTTTGTATGATTCGGGCGCTTCTTCCATGACCAATTTTGGTGATGCCACTCGAATGGCGATTCCCATGTCACGCATGTTATTCAACACATCCGTGTATTCCAATTTACGGCGCGATTTTGCTCGGGATAATGCGCGACCCTGTGAAGTGGTGGAGAAAAAAGAGTTTGATCAGTTAAAATCACAAAATTGAAAAGCCGATTTAATTCAAAGGAGAAAGAGCAATGACAAATGGATGCAAAATGGGGTTCAATAGTAAATGAACTGGAAAAAATTATTTTCAAAGAGTTTTTGGAAAAATTTAAGAAAAACTGAAATTTTCAATTGTTTCTGGATGAAAATGTTGAATTTCAGTCATAATTCAAAGGATTTTCAGTCAAAAAGTGAAGATATTCGGAGAAAAAAGTAAGAAAAATATTGGAAATTCAAGTGTTTAATTAAAAAAACAGTCAAAATATCTTACAGCTCCGTGACAGGTTGAGCCAAATGTTTCGGTCATTCCATGTTCGGTGCCAGTTAGCACATAACTGCATGTACCCATCGTTCCACCGACCAGAACCGGTTGACCGGTCAGCTGATAATCGACTGGAATGAGGGGATGATGCGGTGGAAAGGCTCTGGTTGAGCCTTTACGATGAACCAACAACGTTTTTTGCTTTCCATCAACCATGTGCTCCTCAATTTTGGCCACATTGTGTGACACATCGTAGATAACATGCATGTCAAGGTCATCGGGTGTTGTTTTGAATTGTTTAGCAAACGCCTATAATTGATAAATTAAAATTGATTACCCAAAACAAATGGTTGGTTTGTCAAATTATTGGAATTTTCAATTTAATGCGAAAAATATCATCGAAACGACAGAAAAAACCGTGAAGAATGAAAAAAAAATATTGAAATCATCTTATTCAACTTTCTGTCGTTCTTTTCATCTTTTTTCCATCTGAATTTCGTCCACTGTCTCTCTCTCTCTCACCTGTCGTGTCAAAAACGTCATGCTGCTGCGATTGACCCAAGCAAAATTGGCGGCGGCTGCCATTGCTTTCAAATAGTTCTGACCTTCGGTGGAATTGATGCGTGCACAAGCCAATTGGCGATCGTTTGTTTCGATTTTATCACGTTTCATGGCCTTTTCCATTTCGACTAGAGCATCTGTAGCCACCTGATGACCAAATCCCCGGCTACCCGAATGAATCATCACACACACTTGACCCTTCTCTTCAATGCCCATTTTGCTGGCGGCGAATTTATCATAAATTTCATCGACGACTTGAATCTCAGCATAGTGATTTCCTGCACCCAGTGTGCCCAGCTGTGGTAAACCGCGTTTTTTTGCTCGCATACTGACTTTGGACGGGTCAGCATTCAACATTCGACCATATTCTTCGCAATGTTCTTTATCCTCGGCCCAAACATAACCTTCACGCAACGACCAATCCATGCCCATTTCCAGTGCTTCTTCCAAATCACGTGCATTCATCGGTATAATACCTTTCGATCCAACACCGACCGGAATGTGATCGAATAGCCCTTGAGCGAGATGCTCTTTGACCGGTTGCACATCTTTTTCGAATAAATTGGTTCGCAACAAACGAACACCGCAATTGATATCAAAACCCACACCGCCCGGTGACACAATCGATTTTGGATCGTTTATATCGAATGCAGCCATATTTCCAATCGCAAAACCATAACCCGAATGAATGTCCGGCAATCCAATCGAACGACCAACAATTCCCGGCAACGCAGCCACATTCGCAATTTGTTTTACACCTGAACATACAAACACATTGATCAAATTGAGTTTTTTCGTTATTGGGAAATGAAAACAATTTAAAGAGAAAAACAAACAAATTAAGTCACAAACCTGGTAGAAATCCACCGTCCATACCCGGTCGACATGAATTCTTCAACTCTTCGAACATCAAATTTTCCAAATGTTTGTTTACATAAAATACACCTTCGACATTCATATTTGGCTGGAAACCCTTCTTAATTCGATAGCTGTAGTCGTTGATTTTCTCAATGTATTTGAGCTCCTCCTCATACTGGCGAACAACCATTTTTGCACAATTTTTTTTCTGTTCGACAAGTAATACCGCTCAATCTTTTCAGGTGAGATTTATTTACAACGTTTTGACGATTGATTCTACGTGCTTGCAACGACTGAATTCTTTTGTTTTTCGACTTTTGGTTTGGCTCGTATTTCGGTTTCTTCCCTGTAGCTATTGGTTTTTTTTTTTGTAATGAAATTGTGCGGCCGGTGTCACTGTGTTCAAAGCGAAACGGTGACTGTCACTTCTGTCAAATGTATTATGGTTTCATGTGTTGAAATACTCAACGTGTACTTAACTACTTGCGAATATTATCGCTTTTTTAAGCTTGAATTTTCGGATTTTTCATTTGAAATTTAATTTTCAGCCGAAAATGACTGAACTACATTCACAATACTATGAGTGAAACGCATCTTTCGATACTTTTTCTACATATTGAAGAATATTTTGACTTTTTTCAATATTCAATTTTTTTTTTGTGAATTCTCCTTCAGAATGCACACAATCCATTTTCTATGTTTGTTTTTGATGTGTGCAGAACCCATTTTGCTTAATATGTTGATGGCGCCATCTATCGAAAAATCAACATCAATTCCTCAAAGTTCAACTCTCAATTGAACTTAATACCAACGCGAATGAATGAAAAACATCGGACAAGCGATTTAATCTAATATGAACTTTATTTATTATCGACGCTTATTTATTAAGTAGCATTTAATCGTAGAACAAACTTTTTTTTCTAAAAAAAATCAAACAAAATACAACAGAGTTTCTCTTCTTAATCCATCTCAATCATCTTCGTTGAAAGGACAATGTTTGGCAAAATCTACTTGAACGCAGTAAGTGCCGGTCGTTCTGAAAATTAATGGAGAAAAAATATGATTCGTTACGATTTGATTTCAGTTCGGAAATGTAAAAAATGTTGGAATTTCATCATGTTTAGTAGTTTCACTTTCAGATTTGGGAATTTTGAATACGTTTTTTGGAAACCAAATTCAATTAATTTTTTATTTCATTTTTATTCATTTTTTTTTCATTTGATTTGATTTTTATTGTGGAAAATTCAATCTTTTTTTGCAAGAAAATCGATTTTTTTCGTGTAAAAAATTACAAATTGTTTGTCTTAACGCCGGAATATAGAATTTAATTCAGAAATAGATATCAATTGAAATAGTTTGTGTTAGATATAAACAAGATATGTGCTTACTCTTCAGGTACATCTTGTCCGATGTGCATCAATTTGATCAGACTAGAGTATTGAATTGGTTTAAATGAGTATTTGGCCAAGCCAAACAATGGTGAATTGTTTTGGACGCAACCGCTTGGGCATGATTTGTATGGGAACAATTTATGCTTGAATATTGCATTCGCTAAGTAACATACACTTAAGAAATGGCTACAACGGTTCCGATCTGCAATAAAAAAACGAAGAGTGGGAGATGGAGATTGTGTGTGCAACACTGGGTTATATTCGAAATCATTTTGACAATCAGGGGGTTAATTTTTACAAAGAATTATTTGAAAAATAGAAAAAAGAAGAGTTAATTTTAAGTTAAAAAGAGTAAAGTTTAAAAAAAAAGAGAAGTCAATGAAATTGATCACGTAAATGATTGTCTTTCGTTTTGAAATTGTTTTGTTTAATTCATCAAATAAATCAAAATGAACATTATGAATCAAGATTAGCATGAACTTTGCAAAAGATTGTAAATTGCAACCGGAAAAAAATGAACTTCGAACAATCCATTAAAAACCGTGGAAAAATCCCTTTCCTCTGTTTGTTCCTAATATTCATCATCAAAACGATATCAAAATCTAATGTTCATTATGACTCATAACTGAACTCAACAAAATTCGAAGCCAATGCAAAACAATTTAAAAATGCCAGACAATTCAAACGCGTTTAAATTGAAAGAAAAAAAAAAACAAGTAGACAATGAGCGAATAAAGAAAAATGCATACTTAATCGTAGACCGCGACGACAAAATGGTTGTAAGCTTCCTCCGTTAATGCACAAGTCCAGCGACCCGGTGAGTGATTGTTGGCCCAGTGTTCCGGCGTTTGTGTGAATTATTTGCACAACATTCGCATCGTCCCGTGTTAATCGATAGGTGTGCGAGGCATGCCGTTCGATCAGTGGTCGCGCTGGATCCAAACCGATAATTTTATGCTGTTTCGATGTTAAATGGTTTGAAACCATTCCACAAATGTGAGCACCTAGAGGAAAATAGAACACAAAACATATTAGGCCATGCCACGAAAATTGCATCAGCAGCCGGTTTGGATTCTTGAGAAAAGGTGTTATGACAATGATTGTGCTCAACGATTCAATTGTGCTGTGGACTTTTTTTTCATACCAAGCGAATGACCGACGCATGTCATTTGCGAATTATCTGAGCCTCTGTAGGTTAAATACGCGTACACCTAAAAAGAGAATTTTTTGATAAAGAAGAGAAAATTGTTGCTGAAAATCATTTTCAATTCAATCACATGACATGTTTTTAATAATGCTAGAAATATAACGACAATCGCATGAAAATGGGTCAACAAACAATAAATAATAAACATAACATGTTTCACCGCATTTCAAAGTGTACACGGTGTGCGCGAACGCGATCAAAAAGCGAGATTTCTTAACGGCAAGAGAAATGATGATGATGATGGCTGCTGCCGACAGATGATTGGCAAAAAGGAATTAAATGCAACCACTTTACAAGTTGCAGTGCGTCACATTTCTCAATTGCGCGCGCGGCGCGCACATTGGAATGTGCAAAAATCAGATGCAACGTTTCCAGTTTTCATTAGAGATGCTCAAACTTGTAACGGTCAACATATCTTTCGAACTGGTTTTTCTTTTTTTTTCTCTTGCGATCAAGTGCAAATGAAGAAGTTATTACCGATTGATTTTATTGTAATTTGCGAATATTTACTTTATTTAGCACCTAATTCAAGGTTTTGCACATTATCATAATTTATATTGTTCTGTAACGGAACCATCATTTGATGATCATTGATTTTAATCATTATTTCGATAAAAATATTGATGAAATTTTAAGAATGATATTGATTGAAACCAAAGCATTTTATATTCAACCGGAGAAAACATTAAGACTCTTCAAGCTATCTATCGAGAATTCAGCTTTTTGTTAGTTTTTGTTTCCTTTTAACCTTCTGTCGTCGTAATTTATTCGAAATTTTGTAAATTTCAATTCCAAATTTTGTTTAATTAGCGATTTTTTTCAATTTTCAATTCAAATTGTATTTTTGAATGTTGCAAAAAAAAGGCGATAAAAAAACATACGAATTTCCAAGGAAACACTCACCTGCGCTGTGCACTGGGCCACCAATTTTGTATTGCCTAATGCGGAAAAATAGCATGGATAGTATGTAAGTTTTTTCCAATCAACTAAAACCACATTAAAACGTCTCGACAAATATGCTGCTCACGCAAAAATCCACATGTTTTCGCCACCGATTCCACGGAACCGATCAAATGGCATTGAAAAACAAAAACAAAATTGAATACATTGAATTAAAAAAAAAACAAACAGAGGAGGAAATGAGTTAAACATGTTTTGAGAAGAAGCATAGTCAGCTATTAGAAAGGCGATTAGGTGCATGAAGTTCATATTATTGGACTTGGACACATTTAAACAATTACCATCTTTCAAGTATCGCATATGCTTATCCCGTGCAGTGCCATTGAATCCATGCACGATGAATACGGTCTCTTCGAATGGCCGGAAATTTGAAAATGTTGACGGCTTTCGCACATCCACGTATCTTCCATCGGGAATTTTTCTGCAAAATAAATGCAAACAAATTAGTAATTTTCGATAGAGGAAATAACGAAATGGAAATTAGACACAATTATGGAAATATCTTAACTGAAAAAATACCAACGAAAATATTTCAACAACAAAAAAAACGAAATCAAAGCAAATGGAAAGGCAGAGAGAGAGATAGAAACTTAGTTGGAAAGGGAGCTAATGGAAACATTGCCTAATAAAAGATAAACATTTCAATTGCTCGAAAAGGGAATGAAATGAAAAAGAAGAGAAGAAAAAGTGAGAAAAGGCGAATAATGGAAAAAATGAGGAAAAACAAGAGAAGGTTGAGGAAAGAAGGTTAAAGAAAACCAACGAACGACTTCATTGTGAAAAGCAAAAAACTGATGAAAATCCCATGAAATCGGTATGATCATAAGAAAGTGATAGTGATGTGTCATTTTGGATTGGGAAAATAAATCAAAATTGACATTGGACGTACGTGGCATACAAGACATACGGAACCCATTAGGGGCACATATGACACACGGGATCCACCAGACGGAAATGTCACACGATTCATTCATGTCACTATTTCCATCAGAGAGACATTTAGAGAGAGAGAGAGAGAGAGAGAGAGAGAAAAAAATTGATCATCAACAGCCATACACAGTATAAGAACGCATTCACTTTTCCGATTTCGATTTCGATTTCAACATGCAATAATATGCGTACTTCAAAGCGTATCAACATTTTTTTTGTCCGTCTTAGACGATATTTCCCGTCTACTCTGCACATGAGTATATGTATGATCATACATCTCACTTTTCGATGCTGCTTTCGTCGTAATATCGGATAAAATGACGGTAGTTTTGTTGCAATGATATCAATTTGCGTAGATCGTGTTAGTTTAAGAGGATCACGTGCGAATAAACGAGAGCATTTGATGTCTATCAAAATGATTTAGTGTGTTTAAAAATAGTTCAAGATCAATGTAGATGATCATTTGTTACGCTTTGATGATCGTTCGTGAATCTCGTAATTCTTTATCATCATCATCGTTGTCGTCGTCTTTGTCGTGGTTGTTGTGGTCGATGAGATGAGATGAGACACTGCGAGTTGAGTGTAGGCAGTGCTTGGGCACGTGCAACCACATCGTTGTCGTTGACATGGCATCGACAAGAGCGTGTGAGGATTTGAAAAACTGCGTCAATTTCGTTATTTTCCATCATCAGACCATGTGTGTGTGTGTGTGTGTGTGAAAAAAAGGTAAAGAAAAACCGTTCATTCACATCGTAAATCGTTCAATTTAAACAACGGCAAGAGTTTAATGAATTGCCAATAAACATGTTGTTGATCGATGTCAAATTGAATGTGCAATCAACGGTTGCACGTCGGTTGTGGCGCTCGGGTGAGAGAGACAAATGCATATTCTCATTCAAAATGCATTGCAATTTGCACAATTGTACACACTCTAATTATAATGAAATGGATGAAAAGTGAACGCTTTTATTTTCATTTCATTTCTATAGAATCTCAGTTATTTTGTATCGAAAATTGTAATCGTGTTAAAATGTAATTATATGTGTTGTTTTCTCTGGCCGAGAAGAATATTAAGGGCGCAAAACGGATTGATGGAAACGAAAAAGAAATAAAGCAGCGGATAGAGAAAGAAGGTTTTTAATTGCTATGATTTCTTTGATCGCGCTTTGTGCGATGCACAACGCCCGATGCCACACACTCACACATACACACACACGGCCATTGCCAATTCACACGATCACTTCGCATGTGCATTCTTTACGCGAATACTGGCATCGCATTCACATCTTTTATCATAACAAGCGCTTAACATTTTCAGTCTCTCACTGCATCCAGACACCAGGCCGCATTTTGACGAAGCTATCAAAAGAGTTTATGACAAAAGCAGAGCGTGGCGCATCCATTTGCATTATCTCACACTTGAATTAGAAACAAAAAATCGAATCGAATTAACAACCATCCGTACCGAAACATGTACGTTTGTTTGGCAATTTTCCGATGCTTTACAAATCATTTGTGTGCGCCTAATTTGTATTCAGTCGCATTAAAACAGGTTCAAAAATCATTCACGAACTTAAAAACGCTGGCTTTTTTTTGTTTCTTCTTTCTCATTTCGGCTCAACTGTTTTGCGAACCGATTCAGTTTTCCATTTCGTCGGTATATTGCGCCTTGCCCTGGGTGTACTTTTACTGTGTACTCGCATTTCTCTCTATCTCATACTCACACTAATTTGATCGCCCGCTCGCTTCTTTTGACGCATTTGCAAACAAAGTGGAATTTAATTTTTTTTTTTATTTCTTCTTTCTCGACAAGATTTGGATTGTAACTGGCAACAGCAGTAGCAGCCGTGCAATGTTTTCTTCTCGGCTTTTCATGACGCATGTTGTGCATCCATAAGTGTACTGCTGCTGCTAGCTAAATGCAATCCACATTCAAGTCAATCAGTCGGTATGCTTCACGAGTACAGCCATGAATGTGAGTAGCTTTATTTTTTTGGCCCAAAATCGAGTAAAAATCCGCACACAATTGTTGCTATTTTCTCTCCATTGCCATAAAGTCAATCTATATGAACGCTTTCTTTTACCTTTTCAAGCGTGATTGAGCTCGAACGAACGCAAATGTGCGCAATTGCACGCGCGCGTGCGCAAGCACACCCGGCGCACTCTTTGCTCACTCGCTATGCACTTTCTTAAACTCTGCACTGTTTCCAACAGTTTTTTCGTGTCGTTGTCATCGATTCGACTTTTTTTTCTCGTTTCGTTTTTGGTGTGTGCCAATTATCAGTGTGATGCGATCGACTTCATGTTGGGAAAAAATAAATAAATAAAAATAAAACAGCCCATGATTATTGGCCGTATAACGGTGTCACATTTGCACCTATGCACAATGCCTGTGTAGTGAACAGCAACCGCTTCTTTTTGGCATTTTATCCACTCTCGATCCAAAAGAGAGACATTCCTCGGTTTCTATATCTTTCACTCTCACATTCCCAGGTTCATCACTGGTTCTATCACTCTTTCTCATTCGTTCTTACACTTGCGCTGGCTCTTGTTCCTTGTTTCTCTTTCACAGAGATTTATCATCGAAGAGAGTTCTCTTGAGAGAAAGAAGAAAGAAAGAGTGTATTTCTTCTACTGAGCAGGTCTGAGCTAAGCCGAATCAGTCGCCTAAAGTATTATTTCAATACATTCACGGTGCAAGATTTTAATTCCGCCAATTCAGCTCGGCTCAGGCCTGCTCAGCAGCAAAAATATAGACTCTGCGTCTTTTTCTTTGAACTCTTTCTATTTCACACAAATGCAACTCATCGCCCTCTCTTTCTTTCTCCCTCTGAGAGGGAGATCCGCTCTTGTCAATGCCTCGATCGTGTTTAAAATATCAAAGAGCAAAAAATAAAAAAATGCCATAAATGGCATCTTTCGGTGCAGCGCATTGACGTCTCACTTACACAATCGCTTGTCATCGCATCTTATTCAATTTTCACCTTTCGATTAAGTCCTGTATGCACGATGTGCACTAACCACGTTCCACGTGGTCCATTGCACTTTTTGTCAACACATCGATGGGAAAATCTATTTGCTGCGCGCGTTCGCAAACTGGAAGCTCGGTAATGAATGTAATGCCATCGAGCACAACTTGATGAAGATAGAAAAAACCGTCCAACTGCTGTGTTACCTATTTTCTTCGGCTATTTTTTTTTGCCGTTTTGAGATGGATCGTGTATCTGTTGTTGCAGACCACTGCACAATGTCATTAACGGAAGTCGAGCGAAAAACGATCCAGCAGCAACAGCAGCAGCAACAACAAAATCGCTTGGCATTCGTTCGAAAGTGAAGTGTTTAGCACATACACTGTAACAAAGAGCTGATTTGGAGACACACACACAAAATGAAAACGACATGACGATTTTGAGTAGAACACACGACAGACGAAAAACCAACGATTCTTCAAAATGAACAGCAACAACGGAGTGTGCTCTTCAAAACAAACAGAAAATGCTCGTCGCAATCCAAATGCATTCATGTGGATTAAAATGTGCGATTTGCGAGCATTGTGTGTGTACCACAAAATGCCATATTCACTGGAAAATGTTAGTGTTTATCGTAAAACGCGATATGGCGCGCCATCGTGCACAAGCGCTGAGCTCGTCGCCGAGTAAATTGTGCGATGAAAGCGATACACTTTGATATGGCTGTTATTTAGTACAGTTCCCAGATCATTTAGGTCTTTCATTTTGGTTGTGGTTTTGAAAATGCTTCGCTAGCTACGAAATGAATGTCATTAAAATCGTTCGTGTAGATCGTACAGACAACGTACGTACACCCATGTACGCATTATCATCGATCGTACGAACAAAAATTTGCTCGTTCTTTTTCAATCATACTGCGTTTTCGTTTGAAAATTTTCGTTTTCCATAATGGTAACGTAAACATTGATCCACTGAAATTATATGTATATACCATCGCATTCGAAACGGAAAACGATAAAGAAAATTGTAAAGCGGCACACGATGCGAATGCAACAACGATCAATTTCAATAACATCGATATTATTATGAAAATCGATCGTCAAATAATTAACATATTTTGGACAGCAAAATTACTTTCGCTATTCACAACGACGAGACACAACAACGCCAACATTTCGAATATGTTGAAACGTTTCGCCGCCGATTAACCTATCGGCTTTCGGTAATTGTAAATCTCCTTACACAATTCAATTAGATATCGGTGCCGGAGCCCCAACATCACAAGCGTCAATTTAAATCGATGCACGATTAAAACAACGATCGAACCAATTTTAAAACTATGCAATAGCAAAGAAGTATTAAAATGCGTTCTTCTCTTTTGAATGGAGTGTGTTATTCAATTATAATTACTTCCTTCTTGTGGCAAATGGTATTTATGGCTCATTTGGTATGCTTTATGTTTTATTAATTGCAAGACGGTTTACCGAAAGATCAAAACGGAAAATCTCTGAATGTTTAGTCTATTTTGTATTTTTTGTGGAAGTTCAACTTCTTTGATTAAGCCCATACTTGCTCAATTAATATGATTTGAAGTTATTAATTGATTCATAGCTTAGTATTTTTCAACACCAAATCAATCTTTTTTAATTTCAAAGTTCTGAATGAATTGATTTAAAAACAATTCTATTTGACCAAATTGGGCTTAAAGATCTCATTTCTTTATCGAAATTATCACACAATTATGAAACTTGATCGAAAATTGCATTTTTTTTTCTTAAATGCCTGACTTCGTAGGAATTTTCGAGAGAGAAAAACACGAGCAGAATTCATAGAAAATGAGGAGAACATGCACAAAAAGTGTGGTGATAAAAAGCGTTAGGAAAAATTGCTTTTTTCAAACAAATTTCGAATGGTTTTCAAGCAAATGATTTTTTTTTCCAAATCAGATATGAAAGATCTAAATTATTATTCAATTAAAATGAAGAAAAATTGAAAACAAATTATGATGCAATCATCATTACATTTCAAATAAATTACAATTTGTTTCCGATTAATAAGGTTTAATCGGATTAGCATTTCGTTATTTTTGTCATTTTATTCGTGTACGTTTTGCCATTTTGTTAACTTTGAACCAAAAATTGTGATCTGATTTCTCAATTCGTTTATTATCACTAGTGCGCTGATTTTTTTCTTCTAAATTCAAAAGGTAGAAAATCATCTTGTGCAAATTTGTGTGGCTATTGGTGAAATTGTATTAACTAATGCAACTGACTGAACCCGGCATACTTGATTGAATTAGTTCAAAATTGATTGAAATCATTTGGAATTGCCTGTGATAGCAAATCGTACAAAAATCCAGACAAAATGTCGCAAGACGGTTAACCGATGAGTAGTCAATATTTTTGCACAAGGTATTGTCTTCACGTATCTTTGCAATAATAATTCATTTGCAATGAAAAATCTACATAAATTCTAAATTGGTACTATGGCAATATCATTCGGTCAAAAAATTGAAAAATGAATGTATTTAGTTCGACTTTGTATTACAATTGGTTTGCCTACTTTGATGCGAATCGAAGAAAAAAATACCATTCTTCAATTATAATGGGAATTTTCGTTGAATAAACAAATCGGGCCGAATGGTCAATAAACCCAGTTGTGTATGATACAGTCGATGCCTGCGCCACAGTAGTTCATCGTCTATGAGTCAATTAATTAGCCTATAATTTATTACAACAACAACAAAGAAGAATCGCGAAAAAACCTGCGCAAAAGATGTGACGGTTGTGATTTATGATGACGGCATCACGATCGAATGCACGATGCATCGTACCTCGACCAATGGACCACGCACCCACATGAAAATGCAAGTGTAAGCCACGAAACGAAATGGATTTGACTGTGGAGAAAATATCTGCTCGCATCGGCATTACGTTATCTATCATTTGAATTCATTCACATCAGTGCAACGTATTGTAATGAATCCTATTAATTGCACGCAACACGGCGGAGATATTACCATTTTGCTTGGGGCTATTGGAACAACGTTGCATCAAATCGTTTGCTATTTCTTTCTTATTTTCTGAAGCAACGAAATTCTAAGCAAAAGATTTTGATTTCAGTTCGATTTGAAAAAAAATTACAAACTTCTTTGGTTTTTGATCATTAGAAGGGTATAACACTGGAATTTAGCACAAACAGCAAGATGAAACAACACTCATAACATTATTTACAACAACACAGAAAAAAAACCTAAAACGTAAAATCAAACTCCAACAGCAAAAATTTTTAAACTAAAACATCACAAACGAAAAGCAAAATCAATTCCTTTATGAATGATGCTCCAAAAATAGGCCCATAATGAACGAAATCCATTGAAATGAATGAGAATAGCCGTTGTAATCGTTGCACGTGGAATATTCAGTAATAGTTGCCGAATTCAATACCATTTGCTGTGACAATCGCTCACTTTGTGTATATTCAGAAATAGATATATGGTATTCATGCACTGATATCTTTTGGATATGTATGGCTGGTCCAGGAAAAGCCAACATCGGTTTGAATTTCTTAATCAAACGGTGAATGTAAATGTTTACTATCATATCGATTCTTAAACATCGACAAAAAACATTCCGATCGCATTTTGTGGATTTTCAATCAAGATGATGAATGAAAGACTTTCATTGAAGGTGTTATCGAAATGTCAACACTGAATATGAACCAATTTACCAACTCTTCGGCTTAAATGTCTACAACTTTTTGCATATTCACGTGGGCTCAACAACACACTCTATATCACTTCATAAACATTTTGACACCGCATTCGTCGCTTCTACAATCGATTGAACCGAATTCATGTGCCGAATATTGGAATTTCTTCAAAATCAAAGAAACAAAATGCCGACCATGACTGTGGTGAATCGAATGATACAAACAGATGCAACATTGCAATTCTGATCACAACACACACACACACACCCATTTATCCATCCATACGTTCATTCTCAAGTGAAAATCGTTCAATTGAATTCACAAAAAGTGCATTTGCGCGCGTAAATCGAAAGCGTGTTCGAAATCTACTTACGGTGTATGTAGTATGAAATCGATATCTTCGTGTGGACATGAGTACGATTTTCGTCGCATGCATTTGAAAAGGTTTATATCCAGTAATCCAGTTCCTAAGAAGGCTGCGGCAGCTGTGTATGTGTGTGCATCAATTGATTCGAGAGAGAGAGAGAAGAGAGAATATATGGTATGAGATCATGCGCGCGCGTACACTTTTCTTATCAGAATTTCTCTTGCCATAATGAAATCGAATGAAAATGTTGCAAAACAAAATCAGTTGCATGAAGGTATATCGGTTGGTCATGAATTCTTTTGGTCATCATCAGCCAAATTGGTTGAGCCAATGGAGGATAGCTGTGGATGTATGCTGAGCATAAAAATTGCAGCAAGCTAAGATTGGTATATTTTGATATTGCATGTCGTTAACCATGAACATTTATTTGGGAATATGAATTTGGAACACCTAGTTCAATGCTTTGCACGCAATTTTTTGTCATAAATGCACTTGCTCACATGATTTGCATGGTTCACCACTCACGAGATCAAAATGAACCAATTTCAGCTTTCTGAGTGTCTATGTGCAGCAAATATCCTCAGCTATCTGTCATTGATTGGTCATCATGATCACTTTTATGCTGATTAAACCTAGTTTGTGCTGATTTTGCTCCATCAGATCATTTTAAAACGTCCATTTGTGGCATTGCGTTACGTACCGTGGATGCAAAGTAGTAATGCCAAACATCCGCATAGAAAATTCATAATCAGCTATAATTTTGTCCGACAAACCCAAAAAATGTTCATCTTCCGTTGACCGAAGGCAAATTGCACTTCGAACACACCAATTCACGTGTGGAACACGGGCGACAGCGTCGAAACACTGTCCGTGAACCGCGAATTGATCGCTTTTTTGCTGCTCTTTTCGTTTCTTGTTCTAAATTTTTGAATTTACACAACAACACTTCTTCAACACTCAAACGTACACATATTTGTACTGTGGCACAGGGATGGATCGAAATTCACGCAACGAAATCGTTTCTATATGAATTATATGATATTTCGGAGATGAGTCTCGATCCTTTTTGTATGCAACAACACTCAAAACACTCGGATTCAATTCGATCGACGAGTCGATAAGTGCTCGAAAACTGGAACCACACACCGACACTGAATGATTCACATTTATTTTAATCAAACGAGTCTCTTCGCGGAAATTAACGGAAAAATCGGATGAAAAAACTTTGCTTTTAATCGATTCGATGTGAAAGATTTTCTTTTTTTGTAGAAATTAAATTCTTTCTTTATTTGGTAATTAAATTATTTTTCAAATTGAACTAGTTTTGTTTCTGTTTAGTGTAAAATCGCCTATATTCGCAGTACAACAGGTGGTAATGCATCCAGTTCGGTTGAGAACATCGTTTGAAATGACTCGGAGGCACTGAGGATACGGAAACAGAGTGTGTGTGTTTGTATGAAATCGATCGACACAAAACAACGGTGAACTGAACTGCAGTCGCGGTGTGCACTCAAAACCGTCTCACACTCTCGCATGTATCATGTGTCTTTTGTGCGCTTGTGTGTCTTGATGAAATGGGCTCGGTTGTAACCGTGAAAACCAATAATAACAACCACTTTTAATGCGATTTAAGCGAATATCGTGTGTATATGAAAAAAAAAGAGAAACAGTAACCGTTTGAAGCGAATCGAAACGCGAGAGAGCCATTGCTGCCGCAGCAGCAGCAGCAGCAGCAGCAAAAAAACCATAATAACAGCATTTCTGTAACACACATGCAATCGCAGCATACATTCACATAACATTTGCTGAAGCGAGTCAAGCGCGCGTAAAGCTCTCTTGAGCGTATATCTACGCTCGCCACGGGCTCGGTTATCTTTTTTGGCGCAACGTGCAAACGAACGAACCACACGCATGGTAGAGGTGCTAGCGCCGAAGCAGCCTTACCAAACTTATTATACTGATTACATTTTTGTTTTTGTTTTTTCTTCGTTACATTCCAAGAGCAAAGCAGTTACACGACCAATTCCAACGTAACGTAACAGTAGGCGCGCAGTTCAATGTTAAGATCGCAACATTTCAAGCGCAAACTAATCAACATACTGCAATACGAGTGGTTCGCTCAGCGTATACTTATTCGCATGTCCCCGGTGACAAAGACAAATGAAGTGGCTTTGGCTTTGGAATTATGATAGAAAAATTGAGGATAGGAAAAAAAATATGGTCGAAACTGCTTGGACGATCATTCAAACTGATGAACCGGCCAACGGACTGAATGATTGAAATGGAAAGGCTCTCGGAAGTCGCCTATGTTGCTTTTGCCTAAAACGTCATTGTCATTAGCAGCATTGACGTTCTATTGACTTAAAAGCATTGAAATGTCAATTGCTTTGACGTTCTAGGCTCAAATTTCCGAGAGCCTTTGGTCTTTTTAAAGAGAATCAAAATGGCGTTAAGTTAATTGAAGGAAGTAGAAAAATAGAGAGAAAGAGTTAGAAAAATATAGACCAGAGAGAGAGCGAGAAAGAGAGAGAGAGAGAGAGCTTTGCAAAGAGTCGCAAAATTCATTCTTTCAAAAAGTCTTTCTTTTTCAAAGGTAACGAAAAAAACTTGTCGTTTTCGCATTTTCCCCTGCAAAACCATTTCCACTTGGGCAGAAAACTCTTTGGATGAAGTGTGTTCGTAGTTCATGCGTTATTGAAATTGAGTTAGATCAAATGGGTGCGTGTGGTTGAGCAGTATATTGCATTGGTCGATCTAAGTTTGTGCTGGAGAGAGAGTGTGAGAAAGCAATAGAAAGAGAGTGAGAAGCCAGAGATCATGAAAACGAGACGTTGAAATCGCATGATATAATGATATTTGCCAACTGTCGATAAGAATTTATTAGCATTATGTGCATCATAGCGTGTGACGTTATTGTTGTTTCATTTTCATTATTTTTTACTTTTGTGGTTGTTGCCTTCTTATCTTCGATTTGGCCGTCGAAAATCGAGCATGGAAATCGATGTGTGTAAGCTCGCTGCGAAACATAACACATATGTAACATATGGCTATTTTGAATACATTACGTCTTTTATGGATCTTTTTTCGATCATATTTTTGGACCAAAATTGAACCGCATTATTTCCGGAAATTCATACGGTATCGAAATAAGTGTGTCTCCCGGTCAAAAATTCCGACTCTTACTTGAATTACTCAATATGCATGAAAATCAATTGAATTCGTTTGTGAAATCTTGAACGCCAGTGTGTCAAAAAAAAAACTGGTTTCAAAAGAAGCAACAAAAAATATGGCCTGTATCGTTACTAAGCACGCACCAAATCGGTTCACACACATTCTTCCATATCAATGAAAGGAGACACAACAAGAATGCAGAGAAAACTCGGCGAGGCCAACGAAAAACAATCTCAAGTAAGACAATACAACACAGCAACGAAAAAAAAACAGCTTACACACCATCGAATATGCCAGGTGAATAAAAATGCATGCGGTTGTTCCAAAAAAAAAAAATTACAAACTGAGTAACAAATTATTATCTGTGCGCGTCTGATATGTTTTACGCCAATTCCAACGCACAGTCGAAAGATGAAATTTCTTTTCTTTTCTTTCTTTTATTTTTGCTGGCGAAACAAAAACGCATGAACAAAAACAAATACGGCATGAAGTACAATTACCGAATTGTTATAAATTGATTCAATGAACGTCGAATTCAAATGTGTGTGTCGGTGGTGTTTCGTGCGAGAGATGCTAAACTGATATGAGAGTATTGGTTTCGTGCCAGAGATGCTCGCCCGCCAACATTCTATAGGCGATTCGTTTTGATCGGTTCCTCTGGATGAGTCTTTTGCTCTCTCTATCTTTCTCTTTTCCTCGATCGCTCTATCTCTCTCTCCCACTCACTCACACGTTTTTTCTCTCCCTCTTTGTTTCTCTTTCTCTCATCGTCCATCTCTCGCTCTGACCGTCTCGATCTCAATCTGTTCAAGAGTGAACAAAAATATATCAAGCATAAATTCACTTGC